CCAACAGGGAAATTTAAGTAAAAGCCCTCCTTCTGTCGCTCCAAAACCTGAAGGTGACTGACGCACAGCGACACGTTACAATGGCGCTATGCATCTGAATTAATTAGGTCCATGCGTCTCTGCTTGTAGCGTTTACGTTGTTGATTTTTATAACTTATTATTAATTGTAACCTTAAAAAAATAGAATCTCTGAACTGTGACGAATAATACGGATGGTTTGATGTTTTTTAAAAAATCAACAAGGAGGCATCGACAAATTTTGCATTTGAATGCCTTAAAATGTGATGAGGAGAGAGATGTAATCGGCCCGTGGCTCCGGGTGACGTGGGTCTAATAAGCCACTTAAAGTTAATGGAAGAGGAGGTCAAAATGAGAATTATTGACACCGCGTTGCCCTTAACTGGTCTACCAATAAAGCTGATTAGTTTTTGTCAATTCATCAGCTAACCGCACTCCTGGGACGTTTATTTGCTCGGGGGAAATCAACAAGTCACCGGGTAGTTTTGAAGTAAAGGATCGCCATTTAATTGTGGACCTTGATGATCACGAGCAATTACAGAATGATAAGGGGGAGATTGATGTGGGTGTGTGGGACGCGGGCCTGCGTGGAAACGTGGAGGAGAGAGGAGGTATGACAGAGAGGAGACGATCAAATGCGCTTCGAGCATTTCTGCGAGAAAATGCGCAGATGTTGACGATGTGAAGATGTTGTACTAGAGTCTCGAATGCATTGACTTGTGAATATTTTACCAAAATGTTTCTGAAAACAGCGCATTAAAAAAATCAATCCAAATATCCGGTCCAGATGCCCACAGCAACTCTCGTTCAATCTGAGCAGGCATTAAAGAGGGTGGTTTAAAATTATTATGATATTGCCATGGGTTTAATTAACATCTCCACCTCGGAATATTTAACAGATGCGAGTTGCCGAAACACAAGTTTTCTTTTGCATATTCCTCAACGATTAAACGCACTTTATCAGCCTTCTGTCTGATTTTCTACAACAGCCGGACTCTTATTCTGCGCGCCTTGTCCCCCACCACGGGTTTAATTTCATTAAGGAGCCCACATGAATATTTCTATTAAAGCAGCGGTGAAATATGGAGTCATTTAGTATTGGCCTTCGCCGATCACGCAGATTTATAGCTCCTTTTCATCACATCCAGGAGAGAGAAAATTAATAAGGAGCCCAATGGAAACTGACCCTAAAACCCTTTTCTTTCCTGAAAGCTGTTAATTTGCTCCGTAATTACTTTCACAATTAACTAAAATACAAATCAAAGTGACAAATCGAGATAGTTTATATATTAATTACCTTTGGTAAATGTGTTCATTATGAAAAGGCGGTTTAAAGGAACCTGCCCTGTCTCTTTTAACGCAATAAATGCAGAATTCGCTCAAACTGGCAAAACCGGGAATTTTATACTGATTTTGTACAATTTCCACGACATTTGTTTTCTATTTAAGGGAAATCTTTGATGTCGGTGTCAGATATATCAGTGCAATTACGAGTGAGCGACTTAAAATAACACCAAGGATCCAACCCCTTTACTAAATTCGATATCGAGGTTTTAGTCTCAGACAAAAGTGTTACACGGTGAGCCTGAAGGCGCAGGCAATTTGTTGACATGTGCCAAAAGGGTAGTACTTCTATTATACACTACTATGCATTAGCGGTCATATAGATATATTTTAGTACAATTATATCCATATCCGACAATTATTGTCAGTGTTCACACTCATTATCCAGTCTAATGACGACAGGAAGCTTCTTATGACCTTTAATTCGTGATTGTTATTTTAACACAAACATCATAAATGATAATAATAAATATTAAAAAATAATAATAACAATAAAATATTCATTATTCGATTATTTCTTTAACTTAAATCTAATTTATTTAATTTCGGATTTGGCGTCTCCCTGCACAATTTTAATACAACATCATCTTTTTAAGTCAATTCATGCGACCTATATAGTTTGTCTTTAACGGCTCTCATAAATACCTCAATCTCAGACTGCATGTGCACTTTTCAAAACCACCACAAAGCTACTGTGCCGTTTTATGAAATGTTCAGAGTGGGGAGGTTTTTGCTCTTTGTTTATTAAAACAATGATGACATTCAGAGACTTGCGTGTCCCTTTTACACGTTCTGTTGGCTCTGTTAGGGGAATTGAATCATATGGTATTATTATCATTAACAATCATCGACAGTGACCTTTTGTGTATTAAAGTTATCTTTCACCTTCCACACGAAATTTGTCAGAGTTTCAAAGAAATCAGCTGAATCAAAAAGTTTGTCTAAATATATGAAAGGTCCTCAAAGCAGAATTTCCATTCTAAATGGAAAAATTAGGTTTCACTACAATTTTTAATTTAAATGCTTAAAATATTTTTTTTCCTCATATCAAATGTGCAACACTTGGTTTTTAATATCAAAAAATGTGTGCATTTCAACAGTTTGACCAAAAAATAAACAAAAAACAAATCTGATCTGTGTGCCATGTGCGCAGATTTTTTTTAATCTGTTGACTCTACTAAAAGAATTTAATCTTATTATTCTTATTGTGAATGTTAGGCTGACATTTTCAGTAATGTTAGCCTTTCTGATTATTAAAAGCACTGATATTGGAAAAAAACAGGTGTGAGATCACAGGGGTACAGAGTGTAGAAGCAACACGACTTCACAAAAATCATGTTTGTGTAAAACAAATTTGAGTATTTTCGAGAACAAAAGGTATTTCTTCAAAAATAAACACAAGATTAAAAAAGGTGCATGCCAAATTACTGGAAATTGTTGTCAACATTGTTATTTAAATGTACTTTTCCTGTAGAAAATCTACTTTTCCGGGAGTTCGTTTGAGCTCAGATAAAAATAAGCACAGTACAGTTTCAATGACCAATCATGCAGTAACACTATTACTAGAATAGCAGCAGGGCTGAGGTCATCAGAAGCCTATATATGGACCAAAAATAAAATTCAAAGCAGAACTCTCCTCTGGTTTTAATTTTGCTTTCTCTATATCAATGGTAAGGGTTACTTAAGGGTAAAAATATATATTTATTAACATTGAACTATTAATTTCCTCTTTAATGATAAAATTCCTGAAAAGTCCAGAGACTTCACAGAAAAACTGAAATGTAAGTATCTTTATTTTTATCACATTTTCCATGTGTTTCCAAAAGTCTTTTTTCCCCTCCCCTCTTCATGTATGTACAAGTCCCGGAGAAAAAAACAAAACAAAACAGGATAAAGTCAACAAATGTATAAATATCTAACCAAAAAAACAAAAAACAAACATTTATTTTGGTGTTTCTGAAGCCCATTGAGCCAAACTGGCGATCGACGCAGGACCACTTACAGGCAACTAATACAAACAGTCTTTTAATATATGCAGACATCCTGAGGTCTAACAGGAACAAAACACACCTAAACTAAATCAGGATAACGACGCAAGAGAAGTAAGCTTAAAAAAATACACAACAGACAAAGACTGACCAAAATAAAACAGGAAATAAACAAATATGAAGATAAATAATTTATAATAAGGAAAAAGGAGGCAGGATAACTGAAATTAAAAAAAATAAACAAACTAAAACCATGAAAATCATGCAGAACTATTAAAACAAAAGCTCAAGAATAACACATGGAAAGCAAGTCCACAGCTTTAAAACACTGTCAAAAAAAATCCAAGGACCATGACAGCCTCACTGTTAGTACTGTGTCAGGGTATACCACACCTTTCACCCAGCGACAGCTGGGATAGACTCCAACACCTCTTGAATGAGATAAGTGGATGATTTATGTAGTTCAGAGCAGGTATTACAATATAAACACAACACCTGATGAAATCAGTTGACTCACAGACATCCCAGATATAAATAAACATGTGCATCAATGCCTCATCAGGCTGGTTTTGTTAACAGATATGACCAAACTCACAAAGACTAACACTCAGGATATTTCCTCTTTGATCTTTTTGCCCTCAGGGTTCCTCAGGCTTCAGTGACCTGCTTCATGAAGCTAGTCTGAAGTCAGTTAATTCACTCCTTAAATTTTTTCTTCACTTTTTAAAATTAACTTTTTTCAGCTATTATTCTATTGCACGTGATATCATTTAGCATGTAGTTGTCTGCTTTCAGTTGTTTTGGTTGCCATTAGAGGTCACCCCAACATCTCACCCCATCCCCAGTATCTTTCGTCACACTGACCCTCTGCATGCCTTCCTCTTTTCCTCCTACCTGGCAACTCAAAATTCAGCATCTTTTATCCAGTATCTCTTGTCCACATATCCCGTCTCGTCTCTGCACATGTCCAAACCATCTTGGCCTCTCCTCTCTTTGTCTCCAAACTGCTCAACCTGAGCTGTCCCTTCGACATATTAATTTCTAATCCTGTCCATCCTTGTCACTCCCAAGGTAAATCTAGTATTTTCAGTTCTAAACAGCTGCAGCTCAGTGTCTTGTGTTTTCATCAGTGCAACCATCTCCAAACATTAAACCCCAGGAGGTCTCATGTTCCCTTTAACTCTTGCTGCTATCATTCTGTCACAAATCACCTCTGACACTCATCTCCATCTGCCACTCTGCCTTTCACTCTGCCCAATGCTTTAAAAAAATTCAGTGTTGTCCAATCATATTTTTTTTCTAATAATCTGCATTTGTTTTGGCCCTTACCTTAGTCTAAGTTTTTTTGTTTATTTTAATTACCTAAAATGGTTAGCTTTAGTTAACTTTAATGACCTTGGTTCATGTTTCCCTTACTTTAGAGGACACTAACCATAATCTAAACATCTATCCCAGACTCATCAGGTTAAAAGTTAATGGTGTTTTTTTTTTCGTGTTTTTTCCCTAAAAAATACACGAAGGTCCTCGCAAAATGACAAATTCAACCCAAACACACACTCATGCTCTAGCCCGAGAACCTTCTCAATGGCTCTAGTAGAAGGGCGGGTCTTAGAGACGGTATTGACAGACATTCTGTCCAATCAGCTGCCTCGCTTTGCAGGAAGCGGATGCAGGCTGCTCTCCGGTGTTGTGTTGATTTCTAGAGAGAGCAGGAAAAGAAGACTTGACGTTTGGAGAAACGTAAACATCCTTCTCAGTGTTGTAGTGTCTGTCTCACTTCTTAGCTCAAAAGTCGAAGGTAAACGATTCATACATTGCTGCTTATTTTTCTCAGATGTGTGTCCTTCAAAAGAAATGATGTCAAAAGGACATGCGGGTAGGGTAGGAAGACACCCCCCCCGGAAAGTTAGCCTGGCTCAGCGTTTAGCTGCCCAGCTAGTTAGCTGCATTGCTAACGTCAGCAAAATCATGCTGCTTGCACATACGTTGTCCTTGCTGCGACATGTCACGAATAAATGAGCTTTAATATGGTGTCTCATTGTTGGGGTCGTTTAGAGGAAGCAGGCTTGTTAAAGCCCCTAGCAGCTGCTGAGTCATTAGCTAACCGGCTAAGTTAACCGGTTAGCTAACTATTGTTGCATTCAAACTGAAGGTCTGGCTGAACTTGACCTCCTGTGATGTTGTTCAACTGTTGTCCGCTTTGACTGTTCATAATCGTTTAATTTTGCTACTAAAAATATGGCCTGCAAACGTAGCTTTATAGTGTCGTGGTCGGAGAAACTGTTAGCCGAAGTTAATTGTTTATAAGTTGGCAGTCAAGTCATCACGACTGGTCTGTTTCATTTTCTCTTTCAGAAATTAGAGTAAGCCTTCGAGTCAGTCAGTCCATGGAAAAAATCTAACGATGTTCAGCTTTGAGGGAGATTTCAAGACAAGACCCAAGGTGTCCCTTGGAGGAGCGAGTAAAAAGGTAAGTGGCATCTCAAAACTGGGAATACATCTGCTGCCATTAACAAACCACACATAGCTCTATGCTTAGCAGATGTGGTTAAAACGTGTTGTTGTGTTGCATTTTTATAATTATCTTTGTTGCTTTTCAGGAGGAGAAGGCATCACTGTTGCACCGCACTCAAGAAGAGAGACGGAAAAGAGAAGTAATGTCTCTTCTGAAGTCTTTTGTTTGTGCCCTTTAAAGTTTTGCAGCTCATACTATTTGCAATTTTGAAAAGTCAGTTCTTTCATTGTTTCACCCAGCTTGGTCTTGCAAAGAAACATGAAATATTAATGAAAAAGGAGTATATTTGTTTGCGTTCATAAATATAAACGTCACATTTCTTTGTGACAGTCAGCATGACGTTGAAACTAGTGTAGTGCTGCAAAGCTTTTTTTCTCCTTGATTTCTTTTTCTGTATATCACACTTACATGCTTCAGATTAATATTAAACAAAGGCCCAAGAAAATACAGAATGCAGTTTTTTTTAAAGTAGTTATTTCATTTATTAAGGGAAGAAATATAGTATGTCAAAAAGCAATTGCCCCCTAAACTTAATAACTGGTTGTGCTACCATTGGCAGCAAGTAGTGCAATCAAGCATTTGTAAATTTTGCTTTAATTTGCTCAGGATGAAAGAAGACGACTGAAGAACGCCATTATCATTCAGTCCTATGTACGCGGTTACCAAGACTTGAAAAAACAGGTATGTCTGCAAGCACATTTCATACATTACATAATTCTAGTGACATTGCATGCGATGACATATGAAACCCTCTAACTTGCAGCTGGCTAATGAATGACACCGCCTATTTGATGGTGTGGGAAGTAGCAAGTTTTTTTTCGCAACCTTAACTTTGTCCTTGTGATGAGTGTTTTTGGCTTCAAAGATCAGAAATAAACATGTGGCTTTAGGCAAAATTGTGAACTTCTGCATCTCATCAGAAAGTTGGTTGGTCCACAGACAGTTACAGCAATGATATTGTGTTACCTTACTTAAAAGGAGTTGATGCTGCATCTTGTTGTTTCTCTGAAAATGCAAATGTGGTGATTACATTTTCTTTCTTGTTTTGGGAACCGTATTGATTTGTGGTAGCAGCATTTCTGTTTTTGTACCAAGTCTGCTCAAACAGAGTGTTTACAGTGTGTGACCTGTGACTTTCTTTCTCCAGTATGCCATACAGCGGGCAAAGTTTGACGAGCGTGTCAGCCAGACGCAGTCGGGAGGAGCTCAACACGCCCTGGATGGCGTTGGTCTCTGCCTCTTATCAAGACAATTAATATTTTTCTACAGACAGAGTGTGGATGCCCATAGATTGGTGAGAAGACAAAAAAAACCCCGAGCCTTAGGCCCTTTGGTTGTATCAATAGATTTAATGGATGCTAATATATAAAAAAGTTGTGTTTGCCAAAGACCAAAACTGTGTCTACTTGTGTGTTGATAAAGATATGGCTGTGCCAGAACCTGGTGAAGCACAACGGCCAGTTTGTGAAGCTGTTGGTTGGCCCACAGAAGAAGACATGCGTGTTTCAGATCAAGAGGATCTTAGGCTTCTGCTGCAGGTATTGGAAATAAATAATTTTCTTACAGATGCATAAACGCAAAAGCTGATGGGATATCTGTAACAGAAGTTGCCATTATCACTCTTGTCGCTCTCTCCTGTCTTTTAGACTCTTGCAGAGCTGCACGGATGACAGTTTAAATGTTGCAGTTCCCATGCGAATGCTAGAAATCTTTTCTACAGAGAGAACCTATCTTCCCGTTATTCCAGATGCTAATAATGTAGCTTCATTACTCGAGCAGATTTTGCACTACATGGTACAGAAAGGTAAGCTCACTGGCTTAACTTTTATCTCTGTTGTGAGTCTGCGGTCAGGATTTTTTTTTTTCTTCTTTTTATAGAAAGAAAAGAAATGTCAGTGACACACACATTCCTGCAGCATAGGTGCAAATAAACCTGTTGAGACCAAATTATTAAACAATAAGGGGTGTGCAGAGATCTTGAATGTGTGTCAATATAATTTTGTCAGTGTTTTTATCAGTACAGGGCAGTTCATGTTGTGACTGGTACAGGATTACATTCAAGTCAAGTGTATTTCAAGTACTGACGATTTCCCAGAAGCATGAGTCATTTCAAAAGCACGGTTTAAAGTTAGTCATTGTTGTCTGCACGAAACATTTTTTAGCATTACATCTGAAAAAAATCCTACTTTTTAGCCTGAATGTTAGGTTTAAGGGACTCATTTTTGCAACATTTCAGTTACTGCAAACAGGAAGATTTCTTTTTTTAATATGTTTATATTAAATCCGTAATTACATTAGCGTTTTCTCAGATAATTATTTTGAGTGTTAATTCTTCTCTCTGTCCTCTCATCAGGATACTACAGGTCGCTGTATATTCTTGTGAATCACAGGCTCCCTTCCAGTCTGGAGTACAGCGACGCTCCCACTATCCCCCTGGCAAGCACACTGTTGGAGCACATCCTCAAACCTCTGCACTTTACCTACTCCTCCTGCACAACAGGCGCAAGGTACAGTGAGCAAAGCAGGAGAACAGGAACATTTGCACAGGATGCGACAAGAAAGACGCCCCTAAAAGATTACCTGCTAGTATTTGTCGTACAATGATGATTGTCTGAAGGACAGTTTTAGAGAAATTAGTGCATGCATCTCCAAAAAAAAGAAGACAGCGCTGCTATTTTCACTTTTTGGGAAAGTAAGCTAAAACAATAAGCAGTGGCATTCAAAAAACTTAGTTTGCCCTGTATTGTTTAACTATTTACTGAAGGAATTGTCTCAAAAGTTACACAATTCTGCAGAACGCCCGGCACATACAGTAAACAGTGGAGACGATAGCGGCATAATAGCAGGAACAGAAGGTGTTTGTCTCTGTTGAATTCTTTTAAAATCATCCATTAAGCCAATCAGACAAACTACACCAGTTTTTGTCCCTCTTGTCAATAGTGAAGCAGTAATTGCTTCACAGACCAATTTACAACAAGCCATAAAAGTTTCCCAGACTTGCTTGCTCGCTGGAGTGCAGAATACCAGCCTGTTTGTCTCTTGGTTTGAGACATTCTTAATAACAAACGACGAGAGGACTTCTTTTCTTCTTTGAAGAAAAGCAAGACGGGAGTGAGAGGAACTTGTGTACATACTGGCTCTAACAGCTAATTATCTGACTTGGCTCGCCAGATGTGTGTGACCAGGCTACACAAAGCAGCACTGTTTGGAGAGACAATATTGGAGAAGTCACACAGTAGAAAGAGCAGGGAGATGTTAAATCAACCCATACTTTAGTGAATTTATCGATGAGCAAACAGTATTTTGATATTATTTTTATTTTGTTAGGATTTCACACAGTGTACTAATATCTGCTTTGTCTATCATGTTACAGGCAGTTTGTATTTGCGGCTTTTACCGAGGAGTTCATCTCTGCTCCGTTTACTGAGCAGATCTTTCACTTCTTTATCCCGGCACTATCAGACTTCCGTCACTCATTCCCTTTCGAGGCTTTCCTGAGCTCCCTTAAGGCCACGATCGACTCCTCTTCAGCAGCACAGAGCCAAGCACCATGGCTGTTTTATTTTGTCCTCTCTGCAGGGGAGAACCGCCTAGGTCAGTGGGAGTTTAGAGCTGAACACACAGGCTCATGCTTGTGCTGTACTTGTTTCTCCTGTACATTCCTCTGTGTGGTAATGAGACTGATTTATAGAGTGGGAGATGGGTTAATGTGCGCGGTAATGATGAATGATGCGCGTTGGCAGGCTCACTATCAGAGGAGGGTCTCCTGTTGTACCTCCGGGCCCTGCAGACGCTGCTGCCGCTGCTGCCAGTGTCAGAAAGCAGCACCAGGCCAGAAGTGAGCAGCGACTCGGAGGATGACGATAACGCTGGCATCCAGCCGCTACCCATGCAGGTAAAATCCCCGCATATATGTCCAAATATCTCAGCGGACAGCATGCATCGGTGAGGGATGTCAGTGTTGATAAGGCCCCTCTACACATTTCTAGCATTCACACAATTCAGTTAATTTTTACTTTTATTTCTACATTCAAAACATGTGCAAAGCCCCATTTTTTAAATTTTTTTTTTTTTGTCATGAGTTTTGCTTTGTAGATGTGAAACTGTTCCGCAAGACATTTACCTTTACATAGCATAAACAATATGGCTAACGATAACAAAACAAAAGTTTCTTACAGTCAAAGCAGTTTTGATTTAAGCAAAACTTGAATATCTCAAAAAGGTCATTCTCGTGTTAACAGTTTTCACTAGAAATGTGACTTAGCCTGTTGGCTGATACCAGCACAAGGTTCATGTTGTACTCAGGTAATGTCAGCCTCTCTAATGTAAGCTGTGTGGCAGCGATGGAGAAGCCACACTTTTCATTGTGTGAACAACTGGGAGTTTGTTTCCCAAACTCAGGAATAAAAGGAATTAACAGACTATTCCTTATGTGCTTATGATGCTGAATGAGTTTAAAGTGATAATTAACATAAAGGATGACAATCAGCTGAATAACTGAAGGTAAAATGACATTAAATCACAACATTTGCCAAATTATTTCTTATTAGCTTTGCTATGGCGGTTGTGGTTGGTTTAGTTTGTTTCTGTGTTTTTGTGTTTGAAGCAGGATAACTCATTACTTATCGATGGATTTAGAGTAAATATTTACCACCAGTTGGTGGTTGACCCACTGTAAACATGATTAACTTACGAAACTGAATAAATGAATATTTGGAAGGATTCTGCACCGCTGTGGCTTAAAACATTTTGCCTCAGACCTTCAAAAATGCGTACATTCAGACACCTCGTCTAGCGATAATAAAGCGATAATATACGATACAATATATTTTATTGTCCTAGCTGGGAAATTCGTTGTGCACTCTTGTGTGGTCACAGAAGATGCTTTCACCAAGAGCCAATAAACATTTCTTTAAAAGAGAAGTAAATAGATAACTGTTATCACAAGCACAAACCAGGCAGATTAGTAGCAACAAACACTCCACAATACTCTCATATGACACCGACAAGTTTAAAAACGGATATTTAAACGCTTGGTTTTATTAACAGTAACCTAGAAATTGCAGATTGCATCTCGAAAATAAACTACAAAAAACTAAAATAACATTTTTTTTTTACCCTCGTACACATACTTCTCAATAGG